TCATACAGTTCCTCATGTTGTGGTGACCCCCAACCATAAAATTATTTTCGTTGCTACTTCATAACTGTAATTTTGCTACTGTTATGAATCGTCATGTAAATATCTGATATGCAGGATGTATGTTCATTGTTACAAATTGAACATAATTAAAGCATAGTGATTAATCACAAAAACAATATGTAATTATATATGTGTTTTCCGATGGTCGCGAGGTTGAGAACCGCTGCTCTAAGGGCTCCTGACCCCTGACCTGAGGAGCTGCTTGGAGAGCTGGTGGGACTCAGATGTCCAGCGGTTCTACAGGGTCCCTCCCCTCTCTTCAAAGGCCTGGTCTCAGCCTCCCCTGCTGCAAATTACCAGAGCTTGTACTGAGAGTAGCTACACCTCTAGGGGGATTTGGGCTTAAACACCTGTAAGAGCAAATGTAAGTTAAAAATGAAAAACAATTCTCCCTCATGGAAAAAAGGAGAGAGACTTCCCAACCCCTATTCAGAGAGCATTTACTTAGAAAACCTGTCATTGTAAATTCTCTGCCCCTGTGAGATGTATGTTAATCTTTCCTAAAGCTAAAGAAGCTTTACCCCGTTTAACAACCCAAGAATGTCTTGCTTAAGGACCTGGAAGCCATCTCTTTGGAGCCTAATTGGCGGATTTCCACCCCGGGCGCCAGGGGAGTGTCATAAAGATATGAAAAGTTTAGCTTTTTCTTTGGGTAAAGGCAGTTAGCTACACTGATGGCCACTCCAGTCACCAGGTAAATCTAGGATGGACTGTGTGTGACATGTGATCATTTATCTAGAGAACCTGTGTGTGATGGGTTGTACAAAAAGGGTGAACCTTCTCCCCATCTCTACAATCTCTTTAGCAGACTGCTTGCAATGCTCATTGCATTCTGGTTTAACTGTTACTCAATAATAAAACTTTTCTTTCTCTTCTACTTTTTTGGAGACGTTTTCTGGGTTGGCAAGTGATGATTTTAATTATTTCCTTAACATGCCAACCAGATTAACTGGATGCAACCACTATTTTTAACACTTTTGAAAGATCACAAACTGCATAACATAGATCACCTTTCAGCGCTTCTCAACCTATGTGTTGCGACCCATTTGGGGGTCGAACAACCCTTTCACAGGGGTCGCCTAAATACATCCTGCATATCAGATATTTACATTACGATTCATAACAGTAGCAACATTACATTTATGAAGTAACAACGAAAATAATTTTATGGTTGGGGGTCACCACAACATGAGAACTGTATTAAAGGGTATTAGGAAGGTTGAGAACCACTGTCTTAGATGGAATTACTGGGACAAACCAAGATTTAAAAGAAGCATGATAAACAAAAATATCATTTTGATGCACAAAAACACTTACACTTTCTTCACTGTCTTCACTGACATCCAGCCATACCCGGGACAGAGAAGGACCTCCTGGCACGGGTGGCTCAGGGATATTTCCTTCCTAAGAAGGGAAGGGAAGGGAAATGTCCAATAAGCTCGGGACCTGGTAGACTCGGGTGCAGGGGGAGATTCCACCTTTCCCAGCAAACCTGCCACAGGCCGACCAACAGCGGGCCTCCATCCAGCAAATGAGAGGAACAAGGAGAGGCTGTCACACCGCGGAGGCCCCGTTCGACTACAGGAAGCGGGAAGGTGCCTGCCACGTCCCCGTGGATGTGAATGGGCACAGAGGGGGTGGACGGCAGTGTCCGGCCGCAAAGAGGGGAGAAGGTGACACCGGGTGTGAGCCGACTGCCAGGCTTTGCCCGGGAAGCGAGACTCTCCTGGCGATGCCCTGGGAGAGCCGACAGCAACCAGCGAACGGAAAGCGCCTCTTCCCAAGCTGCTCGGTCCAGGCAGGGCCTCTCCTCACCCGCTGCTGCCTCGGAGCCGCCA